AGTTCCATACCCGTCGGACTTAGGTAGTGAAGTGATGAAGTCCATAGTTACACTCTCCCATGGACGTTCTGCTACGGGTAGTGGCTCCAATAATCCTCCCGGATGCTTTTGTTCTACTTTGTCTTGCTGGCACACAAGACAAGTCTGCACATAGCACTCGATATCGTCCCGCATGCGTGGCCAGAAGTAGATGGCTTCGATCAGCGCCCTAGTCCTTCGCTGCCCTGGATGCCCGGCCCACGGTGTGTCGTGGCTTTCCTTGATTATTCGCCGCCTGATGTTCCCGAACTTCGGCACGTAGACTCTACGACCGGTTGTGAGCAAGAGGCCTTCTTCTACCCAAAAGCGCCTAGTCTTGCCTTGGGCGGCTAACTCCACAGCTTCTTGGCTTCGGGGTCATGTTGCATGCCATCCCTGATTGCGTCTTGAATATCACAATGGGCTGTAGTGATGGCAGCTAGCTCGGCTTCCTGCTTAGTGCATCGGCCACAACATTGCCTCTTCCTGGTTTATACTCCAAGACGTAGTCGAACTCGGCTAGAAAGTCCTGCCATCTAGCTTGTTTTGGGGTGATCTTTTTCTGTGATTGAAAGTAGCTAGTGGCTACGTTGTCTGTCTGGACCACGAACTTGGAGCCTAACAAATAATGCCTCCATGTGCGCAGGCAATGCACTATGGCCGTCATTTCTTTTTCCTGTACCGTGTAGCGTCGCTCGGTCTCGTTCAGCTTGCGGCTCTCGAAAGCTATGGGGTGTCTCTCTTGCATTAAGACTCCCCCAATGGCGAAGTCTGAGGCATCCGTGTGTACTTCGAAGGTCTTTGGAGAAGTTGGGCAGCGTCAAGACCGGCTCTTCTGTTATCTCGGTCTTGAGACCTTCGAACGCCTGCTTGCACTCCGCGCTCCACACCCACGGTTATTTTTCTTTAATAGCTCAGTTAGCGGAGCGGCCTTTGCAGAGTAGCCTCTTATGAACCTGCGATAATAATTCACAAGTCCTAGAAATGATCGCAGCTCGGTCACGTTGGTAGGGCACTTCCCATTCTTGGATTGCCCGTACTTTGGGTCGTCCATCCTTAGTTCGCCCTGACTGATGATTGCCCCAAGAATGTACTTCATGCTGGGCGAACTCGCATTTCTCCCGCTTAACATAAAGTGGTTTTCTCTTAAGACTTGGAAGACTTTCCTTAAATGCTCTACGTGCTCCTCCAAAGTGTTGCTGTAGATGACTATGTCGTCCAAGTACACTACCACGAACTGATCCAGATAGGGCTGAAAGATCCTGTTCATCAGCGTGCAGAATGTGGCGGGTGCGTTGGTTAGGCCAAAAGGCATCACCAACCACTCGAATGCTCCGTATCTGGTTACGCACGCTGTCTTTGGTCGTCCCTTCGCGATGCGTACTTGGTAGTACCCTTTTCGGAGGTCCATCTTTGTGAAGTACTTGGCCTGTCCAAGTCTATCAAATAAATCTGCATAAGCGGGATAGGATATTTGTTCTTAATTGTTACCTTATTAAGCGCCCGATAGTCGATGCATAAGCGCAAGGATCCGTCCTTCTTCTTCTGGAATAATACCGGGCGCCATAAGGTGCCTTAGACGGACGAATGTGACCGGCTTCGAGGAGCTCTTTCAGCTGTTTCCTTAGCTCCTCTAACTCGGGTGGAGCCATGCGGTAAGGGGCTTGTGCAGGTGGCTTAGCTCCAACCTCCAGTTCTATCTTGTGGTCTACCCCGCGTCTCGGAGGTAGGGTCTTTGGCAGCTCGGCCGGCATCACGTCCTTGTTTTCTTCAAGGACATTCTCCACGATCGGTGGCAAGGATTTCTTATCACCATTGTCTTCTTTCGAACTTGCAATGGTGGCTAAGAACGTCGGCTCCCCTTTCTTCAGGCCTTTCATAATCTGCATGGCCGATAGGAGGGCGTGTCCTTCCTTCTTTGGTACCTTGACTAGAGGTACCATGCATGACCCTTCCCGCTCCAGGACCATGAGTCGTTGGAGTTGGGGGTCAATCATCGTGTGGCACCGCTGGAAGAACTCTTGCCCAAGAATAATGTCAAGATATCCAAAGGAGCGACGGTAAAGTTTGTCTTACCTTGCAACTTCCCACGTGAGGCTCACTCCTTGGGCTATTCCGCACACGGGGGTCGGTGGTGCATTGACCGTCTTGAGGCGGGTGTTGCTTGGACATAGTTCAGCCCTAACCTCTCTGCCGCCGCTTGGTCATGATGTTTGCTTCCGCCCCGGTGTCCACCATGGCACGAGCTGTACGTCCATTGATGGAGATGTCTACATACTGCGTGCTGAAGTCTCCTGACTTCTCCGTCTGCTTGGCTATTGCCCCACATAGTCCAACCATGCCCAACTGCGTCGTGCCCGCGTCTTGCCCTTGCTCCTGTGCGTCCTTTTCCTTCCGTTCGCGTAGGATGGCACCAAGGTTCTTCATCTCCGGGCACCTGGCATAGCCGTGTGGTCCACCGTATATGTAGCAACCATCTCCCTTGGTAGTCTGCACCTTCTTCTCCGTGTAGTTCTGGCGCGCGAACCGTCTGCTGTCTGGTTTGTGGGGGTCGTGTTGCTTGGGGTGTGCCTGCTGCTCCTTGCCTCGGCCGCGGTCTCCCCCACCTTTGGCATGACTGTTCCTTGCATCCTTGCCCTTCGCCTTGTCATGCCGATCATGCTTAAAGTATGTTAAAGACTCTGCCTGGGTGATGGCCTCATCTATGGTTTTGACCTGACGCCGTTCCAACTCGGTCTTGGCCCAATTCTGTAGTCCGTCCATGAAGTGGAACAGCATGTCCTCGTCTGTGAGGTTGGGAATCTGAAGCGTTAGAGTTGTGAACTCTTTAACGTACGCCCGAATGCTTCCTGTTTGCTTCAGCTCCCTGAACCTGCGCTTAACCTCGTATATGACATTGGTAGGGAAGAAGGATTTCTTGAATTCTTCGCGGAATTGCTCCCACGTGTTGATGGTGCACGTCCCCTTCCCTATTTCAGCTTCCTTTCGTCTCCACCATAGCATGGCCATCTCGGAGAGATACAACACGGCAGTGTTGATCTTATTTTCATCACTTTTCACCCGACTACACTTGAAGTAGTTCTCCAAGTGCCACAAGAAATTCTCCACCTCTTGCGCGTCACGGACGCCTTTGAACATAGGTGGCTTGGGAGCCTCGACCCTGGCCTCCCTATCATAGTCGGATGACGCCGATCCTCCAGCTTCTTTGCCTTCCTTAAGTGCCTTCATTTCGGCTTTCATGGTTTCAATTGTGTTCAACGCCTCCATGAACCGGCACTCCAAGGAAGTGATGGCCTCCTTCATCTCAAATTCAGCCCACTGGCGTGCCTCCAATTCCTTCCGGATGTTTTCTGTCTCTTCAAGGGTGAAGTCTTCAAGAGTTTTGAATTTGCCGTCGGCCACATTCATGCGCCGGCCTAATATCTCCACGGCCTGTCTTGCCACTTCAACCCTTGCGACCCAGTCTTCGCCAGCGGTGACGTCAATGGCCTCCTCGCCAAGTTCGTCGTCACTTGCCTCGGTGGTTGAGGGTGGATGAGATGTTAGCGCCTCGCTAGGTGTGGGATCCGGCAGCATTTCTTCAGGACTCTTTTGGTGCTTCTTACCCTTTCGGGACTTCTTTCCACCATCCGGACGGATGTTGGTGGTGCTAGCAGCGTTTATGTCCCCTTCGGTTGCCATTCCCTTAGTATCGAACCTTGCTTTGATACCACAATGTCACGGACTTAGAGTGATGGCTAAGAATCCGTGCGGCCCTTGACGGTTTACTCACTAATCTTTCAAGATCTTGTAAACTCAAGGAAGCCTTTTAGGGCTTGGGTTGCTAAGAGAATGCTTAAGGAAAGTTTTGGAAAGAACAAAGAGAGCTTTTTGAAGAAGGCTTTATATTGAGCTTTGGAAGATTGCTTACAACTTGCTTGGTGCCTTTGCAAATGGTGGCACCTCTATTTATACTACTCTCCAAGGACTAAAGTGCAATTAATATTTACATGAGAGGTCCCTCAAATATTTACACTTTGACCCCTATCTAGAGAATTCTACATTTCTCTAAGGTTTTCTTGAAATATCTAAGGGTTTCTAGCCTATTCTAGAAACCTCCATGCCTTCTTCGCTGCAAGAGTTGCCTATGTTGGTGGCGGGACATGACATAGGGTACTTTATTTTATATGACTGATGTTGGGATTTCTACTCTACTTTGTTGTTGATTTTTCTGACTATGTCCTTGTTGGGCTTGTTTTGGATTTGTGTGGCCTTGTCGGGCCTTGATTTTATGTATGTGATATGCTTTTGTTGAGAATGTGTGAAATTAGTCATTTTGTTTTGTTTCTTGTTATTTATTTTGATTTAGGACTTTTTTGTTTTTACTTGATATGGAGATGTTGAGTTCATGCCCAATGATAGATAGAGTGATGACTTTCTTAGGGGCAATTCATCATTTGGTTGTGAGTATATTGATGATATGTTTGTGTGGTGAAGTCTGACTAGTCATACATGGTGAAATCTAAGTAGCCATATGAAGTCTGGTGATAGATTGATTGACATATTTCTTAAGGGTAAAACATCATCTTTTTGGGAGGATGTGACTTGGCTGGTACTTGCAATATAGTCGTGCACTGTGAAAAAATTGACCATACCCTTCGATTGAAGACAATAGTTCCCAAGGTGAGGATGCAACACCACATAAACTTGTAACATCTAAAATAACGTGTACATTGGATGAGCCATTTGAAGTGTTTCACATCAACAATCATTCAGATTATTTATTAACATATTTAATTACTAATAGACTAATCAAAGTTAAACCAATACATGTGTCCTTGACCGCATGACAATTCTACCTTTTTGCCGGCGAAGAACATGACCTGCACCATTGGACCCAGTTTATTACGTATAGTGATTAAACCTTGATTATTAATAGGGTTTATGTTGCTAGTGTAAAAAAAAAAAAAAAAACTTCATGATTGCGACTATAAGATAATTTGCATTTTAAGTAAATGTAGCTAGGTCCTCAAAACCATCAAATTGGATCTAAACACATAAAATTTAGGGACGGATTGATGCTGGGATGATGACGAAAACCAAAACCAAAACCAACATAACATGTTAATCGTTGAATACAACTTCATTAAAACACAACACGGTTTGATTTAGTGATAGGAACCCATGGACTACCATTTTATGTGTGCAGCACTAAAATGTGCCTTCTTTAGTTGGAGTGACAAATTGTTACCAGCCTTTCCCTGCTTAAGTTCCACATCAGCTAATTATAGATAGAACTCTTCCCCTAAGCTTTTCAAGTCTCTGCATAAAAGAAAAATACTAGTTTGAAAAAATGCAGCTGATATGTAATACCCTGACCTGATGCCAGCATACGTACCAAGCCAGATATCTTTGCCCATCTTTCAGCAGAAGCACCCGCGTCTTTTAGATGAGAACAATCTGAATGATCATATTTTAAATAGTACGTTGAATTTTCGGTTGCTTCAGCTACCCAGAGGTTATTAACATTATCTCTTGCTCTCTTGATGACATTGCAAAAACAAACCTGCAAAAACTTCATTATTTCAGCTGGGTGCAAATAAGAGAAACACCAGACTTCATCGACATTTGGTTTTACTTTACAGTACAACCCTTTAAATTCATTAATCAGGAATACCGTGGGAGCCTCAATGACATAATTTTCAGGATGGAATACATGCAAAGACCATAAGAGAAAAATTGACAGCTTATAAAATTTGCAGTACTAAGACCCCAGCCCCAGATGCCTTTCAGCAACACACCTATTTGTTAGAGTTGAAGTTAATGGCATATCAACATATCCTGTATGGCTGAATAGAAGAGGATTTTTCTGAAGGAACAATAAGTAGCTTCCAGAAAATCAGAGGTTCGGTAATGGTGGCTATGAGGAAAATCACATACTGCTAGTAGTTTAATCCGTACTCACCGTAGATTCTACAAGGTTGGAGTTTATTGGAGCAAATGAATCTATGCATGGTGAGGTGAAACTGATGGCCATCAAGGTTTCTAATTCGTCATCAGAATCCAACATAGCTTTGGATCCATCAGCCACAAATACCCACTGCTTTGTTTGATGAGCTTCTGTATACAGCTGCCCCACAAAAACAACCACTGCAGCAATATCAAACTCCCTGAGTGAAACCAAGCAACAAAATAAGTAAAAAAGAAGTTTCTCGCTTCGGGAGCACAAGTATTGACTTTAAGATATTCCCACCAAGACCGACCTGGAAATAGGAACTTCACCCAATTTACTCAATGAAATTGATTGGCGAGGACAGAAAGAGCTCCTGCAGGATCAGGTATCAGATGTATAAATTTGTGCAGTAAAAGAATGAAAATAGCAGATACTTACTCAAAATGTTCAACTGCCAGAGGAGACAAAGGCAGCCATTTGGATGTGGACCCTTTTGTTTGCAAGTAAAGGGTGCTAGAGTCTGAGCTTATCGGTGTAAGCCCTGTAACAGAAAAAGCTTGACCCTCTGCAAGCCCACAGTGCTATACAACAAATCAGTTAGAGATGATATAAGTACAAATTTGAGAAACATATTGGCATAATGAAAGGATACAAGGTTAAAGAAAAATATCTCAGTGCAAAATCAGATAACCAAAAGGACATTAAACCCCAATTTCATACCTGTTTCTCAGTAGGATTCCATATTGTAATTAAGCCTTCCTTTGGACAGCACTTCAATGGTGTACGTTTGCTAGTCAATCCAACAACTCTAACTCGCATAAACGGAGTGACGTCTCTTTCAGCAAGTCCAGCAGTTTCCAAAGCTTTTTCAAGAGATTTTTGCAGGTCAGACTGCCTGAATGCCTGAAAATGACAAAAAGGGGATCATGACTAGCCTCCTACGGCTAAAGCGGGTGGAAATGAACGTACCTCCAACTTCGCTTGATAGGATGAAAATAAATTCAACTGCTCTGAAGTCATCTCTGCCATCAGAAGTTCTGGTTCTGCAGCTCTCTCAAGTATCCTTAAAATCCTTGCCCCTTCTTTACTTTCATAGTCGCTTCCGATGTATGCATCTCTCTTTTCTCTTTGAGATTCTGAGACTACTCCCTCCAAAATGCTACTACGTCTACATTGACACAACTCACAAATATAGGTTATATCAGTACATATCCAGATATTCATAGATAAAATGTATCAACTAGTATTGAAACGGCACTGCATGAAAGTTGAAGTTGTATTAGAAAATACGTCAAATCCCCATACTAAGGTCTGAACCGTTCAAAGTGTATAGTTCGACCCCAACCCGGGTGATTTTGGCCGTGCCTAGGTGTATAGGTCAAGGTTTGACTGTGGGGAATATGTTGGATGTGAATTAAGGTCACAGGGGAACTCTAGCACAAAGTTAAGTTGGGGGCTTATTGACAAGCTAAGTTTCTGCATTAGCTTGGCCAAGGTCCATCTTCAAACAACTATATCTCCCTATATTAGCTTTCCAGACCCGGTATAGCCACTTTGAGTTTTTGGTAATGTCATTTGGCTTGACCAACACTCCAGCAGATTTTATGAACCTTATGAATAGGGTCTTCAAGCCTTTCCTCGACATGTTCGTAATTATGTTTCATAGATGACATCTTGGAGTATTTGCAATGCGAAGGGGAGCATGCAGATCATCTCTGAGTAGTGATGCAGACACTAAGGCACCAGCAGTTGTATGTGAAGTTCTCTAAATGTGAGTTTTTGTTGAACACTGGTGTTTCTGGGCCGTGTAATTCTGACCAGTGTATCGTAGTCAATTTTCAAAAGATTGAGACCGTGAAAAACTGGTCAAGGCCCACAACCCCTATGGAGATTCGGAGTTTCTTGGGCTTGGCAAGTTACTATCAGAGGTTTGTTGAAGGTTATCTTCTATTTCTCCACCGTCGACTAAATTGACTCAAAAGACGACTAAGTTCCAATGATCACAGGCTTGGCAGAAGAGCTTTTAGGAGTTGAAAAACAAATTGACTTCAACAAACCATAGATCGTCGGTTGAGGGATAGGCCAGAACATTAGCCTTATGAACTTTTAGGAAGTCTGTTTTTTTATTTTGAAGCTACTGCTAACTGACTGCATTACTGCAATCTGCCTACATTTTAAAAAAAAGAAAATCAATCCTTCTATATTTATTCTGCCCTGCTTAATTTAGTTTTGTACTAATTAATATAGTATTTGCTAATATATGTTATTGCTATTGAGATTTTGGATATTTATATATGCAAAATAAATATTTTAAGTATTTGGTATTAATTGACGCCTCAATCCAAAAAGGCGAGCGGCAACGCCACGAGGCGAGGCAGACCCTTGTTGCCTTTCGCCGTCCAAAAACACTGTGCCTAACTAAGACATTGATGTTATAGAGAACTTATCCTATGAATGACCCCAGTTAAGGTGTTATGGAGGAATTATAATGTTGAAGAGGCTGCATGGGAGGCTGAACAAGCCACGAATTCAAAATATTTGCATCTAGTTTAAGGTCTTGAAGAAAGAGCTTAAGGTAGAATTCCTTTTCCAATACTCTATACTCATACTTAAATGTTTTATCACTGATGCTTACATATTCGAAGTCATATTTATGTTCTAAGTCTTTATACCTTCCATGATTCATGCTTATGAATTCTTTTCCGTGGCATATCCCGTCACTGATGGCAATGATAGAGTGAGTATTTGGTAAGGAAGGTAAGTTATGCGAAATAAAATCCTTTTCATGTTTTCTAAGGCTAAGAAAATCCCATCACTTTTCCTTTTTATGTTGGATCCTCTCATATTTTCCCTCTTCCTTGCATTCATTTAACAACTATTTTCCTCTGACTGCTCTGTTCTTTTTCCTAATAAACATGAAAAAAAATTAGTGACTTGTTTGATGTTGTTCTCTAAGCTCAGTGCGAGTTATTTTCTTTTTGTCCTTTGCCTGACGAAAAAGGAGATACTATCCCAATGTCTTAACTTTATTTTCATGCCTCATAACAGATCCAGTATTCAATATGCTCAGAAGGATTGAATCACTATCTTAAAGCAAAGGTCAAATATTTTGATTAGTAAAATATATTCAAGTGATGGTTTCTAGGCCTTCTCATGCAATTTGTGTCTGTTACAGTTACCAAAATAATGGTAATAATACTAGTTGATGTAGAGCATGACTCAAACCAATTTGTGTTTTCCATTTTAAAAACTAATCTGCTATCCTATTCTAGATAGCTATTCTAATTAATAGATCGATACAGATGTCTGACCCACTGGAAATTTGATAGAAAATCACACATAATAGCAGGAAGTAAGGATCACTTTACAGAAAAAACCAGTGTGCCACTTTTACTTATGTTGGAGCAAAGAAATCATATTTATTGAATAAATCAAACGTGGACTTAAGAGTGATCCATAAGATTATTGCCATAATGTTACTAAACTAGTATCAGATGCACTGTGGTCTATGATGGGGTTGGGGCACATTTCTTGACGTATCACAGGATTCAAATGAGGAAAAAGCAAGAAGCTGGTAAAGCAAATTGCAAGAAGCTGGCAGGAGGACACAAAGGTGAGAGTGAGTTTATTACCAAAAGATATTCAAGGATGCATGTAATAGCATCAAACAGTGACCGAGGACAAATACACATTTTGGGTGGATATACTGGATGATTATAAAATGATACAACTCAAATGGACCACCTGAAGTAAGGGGTATAAGGGATAAAGGTTTTGTGGGAAGCACTGAGCTATTAAATTGTTCAAAAGCTAACTAGCATTTGCTTGATGCAAAAAGGCACAGTGAGCAAAACTCATGATAGCTTTTTTCATCCAGAGTGAGGCAAAGATTGACTGCATCACTTAAGTTACTTCTTTTTGCATCTAGGTGATAGTTTCTACCAATTGAAGAAAATGTGACAGATATTTTCAAATTAAAAGAGAAGAAGTTAAAGCAATTCTAAAAATGAACCCATAATGCAGATACCAAAAGAAAGACAGAGAGAAATCTTTTTGCAAGTTTGCAGTCAAAAAAAACAAATAGTTATTTCTTTGGTATCACCTTTCAGTAAAATACTGCATCTCTTTATCTTCCATCCGTTCAGATCTTACAACGAACCCCCGATTACTTAACCTGGATGTCATAGATTGTCATCAGAATCAAAACTATTTTTTCTTCCCCAACAACTTTCAATTACCTTTCCCTGAAGAGAACAGGATATATCCTTGAAATTACAACCAATGTTAGTGGAACAGCACCTCCACCATCCTTGATTGACATAAATGATAATGGAATACCACCACCTTTACCTAACAATGTTTACATGAAGCAAGACAGGACAAACGGAAACAGAAAAAATTATAATGGCATAGCCAGGATATTACTGCAAGTAATCAGTTTTTGGTATTACTAATACTTACAGAAGCCCAAACGAGATGCCCAATGAGCTCTATATGTCCCATTTATATGCAGCAGTAAACTAGTCGTCCCTGACACCTGAAATTAATGCAGACCTTTAAAAATGCCAATAGAAACTGGAAAAGCCCTTGAAAGCAACAATATTTATTATCTAGAAGCTGCTAAAGGCAACAACCTCAAGAGGTGAAACAGGACCTGTCCAGCCACACAATCCAGCTCCCCAGATCTATAAATGACAAGATAAGCTGTGAGAAATATGAAATTCTGAAAACCCCCAACTCAAAGAATAGACTATAACTATTAATTTAATGTGGTACCCTAAGCTTTTGACCAACAAACAGCTTTCCAGCAGCCAACTTCTTGGATAGTTGTATATCTAAGACAGCAATTATTGAATACCTATAAAACAAACAAATTCTGCATGATCAGGAAATCCAATTTATAACACAGTGATAAACATTAATATTTTTCTTACCACCCATCGGTCAGTTCAACTTTTGCACAAGTTCCATTCTCGGTCGTGCTAGATAGTGAAGATTGAGGTCCAACTGGCGAGACACAAATTGAATAGATATTGGAAACACAGAGTACCATCATAGAAGAAGGTGGGACGTCTCCTTCTAAAATTCTCTTAACTGCAGATCGATGACCATGATTTACTTCTCTTTCATATCTGTCCAAAGGATGAATTGATGTTTTTATTGTACCTGCAAGATCCAAGAGGAAATGCACAAACTGGCTGAATTACAGATACCTGTATTTTAATTCTTCAAGTACATTGCATATTGTCAGAAGTTTCCCAGAAAATTTGCCACTGTAACACCTCTCATAAGATGCAAGTTTCCAAACAATCCACTTATAGTGATTTGTAATCCACCTATTGGAATGATGAAGAATATTTGTAAGCATGTCGCATCAAAGAACAATTTAAAAGGAAGATAAACTTTTATTAGACATCAACCATATTAAACGATAGAATTGTCTTGATCTGCTCAGCAGACAAGTACACCCATGATTATAAGTTTATAACTATATAGATCAATAAGTGGATCTAAGAGAAAGTAGCATATAAAAGTGCCAGGATATCTCAACAATGTCAGAACTGTACGCAAAAGTTATCAGCAAATCGTTTTGTAGTCTTCAACACAAGCTGCCAGACACACCCAGATGCATAATTCAATGGGTACTATTACCAACAACTATGCATACTGCTACAAGCAACAATTCTTTAGTGCAGCACTTGGAACTAATTGGTTCCATCTGATAATTCATACCGTACACCCATGATTATAGCTTTATAGATCAATCCGTGGATCTAAGGGAATGTAGAAAATACAAGTTCCTGTAACTCTCAACAATGTCAGAACAGAATGTGAAATCTATAGCCAAATAATTTCGTAGCTTCAACAAAAGCTCCCAGACACACATGCATGATTCAATGGGTACTATTACCAATATCTATTCATATTGCTACAAGAGGTCAACAATCATTTAATGCAACACTTGAACCAAATTGGTTGCTTCTAGTAATGTAGCTACTCCAACAGCAGCTATTCTGACAGCCAACAAATTTTTCTTAACGTTCTTGCAGAGAGGTATAAAAAATTACTTTTTAGAAACATATTGCATGGAAGCTCCTGAATGAGACAGCATCTCCAAAAAAGACTCTACTCCAATGCAACCTGAGCAAGATTTATCATTGAGCACATAAGTCTCAGCAGTAACTGGATTCATCCTTCTCACGTCATCTGGCAAACTCTCTAGCTGAATCTCCACAGAATATAAGAAGTATCAGCTATCAAAAGCAAAGTCATCAATCAAAGGAAATAAATTATTCTGGTCCATTCACACCTTGCTCAGGATTGATGGGGGCTTTCCAAGATACTCCTTCATATACAATCGTGCCACATGGAATGGATATCGAACTGAAACCTTTCCTTTTTGAGAGGGTGATTTTGGTGCTAAATCTGAGAACCCTAGTTAAATGATATCAAACCTATCAAAAATGATTTAAGACAAGCCATAAGGAGTCTATTTACAAACTTCAAATATACCATTAGCAGCACCGGAATCGTTTCTTTTGAGAGAGTTGACGATGCTAGTGCTTCGAGGCTTCTTGAATGGAGAAACAAAACTTCCCCCGGGTTTCCTCTTCCGACCAACGTTCTGGTTTCTATCTGCAAATCCTCCTCCAATACTATTTGAGATATCCACCAAAGGGCCCCTGGAAGGCCGTTCTAGCAATTTAGGTTTTGAAGCGATGTCATTTTCTCTAAGGTTCGTAGCTGCTGAGTTCTTATTGAAAGGCTCTCCATTCTGTGGAATACTATGGTCCAGCCTACTAGTGCGTTCTTTTGCCACAGCATCAAATTCCTTTATCAAGTTACTTGCTGGAACGAGATTCTCTGTTTTAATCGAAGACTTCTTATGATACAAAGTTGATCTCAGTGGCGATGTAAAAATGCTTGAGGACCCACAACCTTTCGCTGCCGATAAGAGGGAAACAGGAGTATCAGAGTTCAATTCTTTGGTGGAGACCTGATCAACAGATTTTTGGTCTTTTGAAAAAGAAAGCAATGGATCAGCCACATCCTTTTCATCAACAAGACAACCCAGCTCTAGATCTCCAAGCAGACTCTTTGCGCGTTTCAATGCCTCACAGGAAACTGTTATTGATCTACCACCAGCAGTATGAAACTTTATTGGAGGAGGTTTATCTGCACAATGCATAAAATCTGCTACTAACTCCTCTGCTGGACAAACTGAGGAGTTAAATTTAACATCAAACGGAGACAATGAAGCTGCTGAAACATTAGTAGACCCTGTGCTAGCAACGCCCTCTACTTCCAGAATAGGAAATGAATTCCGAAAACCAAAGAGCTCATCTGAAGTTGTATTTTTCTTTCCAGAACCTGGAAATGTTTCATGGTCACCATTTTCTTCCAAGCCCAACAACGCTTTGGCCCTATTAAGACCTGTAGAAGATATATTGACTGGTTTACCGGAGGCTGTCTGGAACAACGAGTTGGACATGCTAAATTGTTTGTTCAAGCTAGAAAGGGAAAAGGATTGTGGAGCATTAAGGGCTTTTCCTGAGCCTTTCTGGAACACGGCTTCCTGAACATCTTGTCTTCCAGTTCCTATGCCTGCACAATAATTTGGTAATGCATATCCATAAAGTCAAGAAACTTGGATATGGACTCACATACTCCACTGTATCTCTAAAATTGACAAATCTAAAGGAAACAGTGTTACACAGAATAATGCAAGATTGAATTTTCAATTAATTTTAGGTCAAATACTGATTCTAAGTTCTGGGTCTTATTTTAAAAAAAAACAAGTCCCCAGAAAATGAGAAGAAGATTAAAATTTTGACATAATAGATTATATTATTATGGAGGATAAAATGTGACACCTGTGTCCAAAATCGGCTTGTCTTCATCACCAAGGATGGAAAGAGCTGCTGATATGGAAGAATGTTTCACTGACACAGGTTTCCCTGATCCAGTTCGAAAAATTGGAAATTGTGTAGAAGTTGAATCAGTGTTCCCTGCTAATCTCGAACTTCCTGCATTTCAAAGCCATTAATTTAATGCTATGGCATGCAAATATTGAAGAAAACAAACAAGTACCGTGACGCAAGAGATCGGGCATGGATTGGAGCTGCTGGGGAGCTAGGGTTAAGCTCGGTTCAGTAAGAGACTCTCCATCCGAGACTTTCCATCGGAAATCATTCACCGAGACAGAGTACAACTGCCACGTCGACATCTTCCGGCAATTTGTGTGGGAAATGTTCTCAATTTTTTTTATTAAAGCGGGAAAATTTGGTTTCTCTTATAAGATATACCCGCGCCAACTAAATTAAGGATCATGGGCTGGGCTGGGCTGAGTAACAAGCTACAAACTCCAAAAAAAAAAAAAAAAAAAGCCATTTCAGCATTCGAATGAACTAGAAGACAATCCGTTTACAATTTTTTGTATTCAAATATTTGATGGAGATTGAAAATATTAATTTCTGAGAAATTTGAATGATCAAAACTATTAAATACATATTTAAGAGACAATTTTGGACCTACACTCAAATATAAGATATTACTCGGAACTTTTAAATGAGTATGTAATCATTTAAAATTTATTAAATATAAATTTATAAAATGATTTAAATTATATTAAATTCATGATATATTTGTTCAAATAAATATTGTGTATTAATATAAGGAAAAACTATCCATCTAGACATAATTTACTACCCTATATACATATTTTATCTCTACTTTAAAAATATTACATAGAATACTACTTTTTAATAAATGTATCATATATTTTAAAAAGTTAAATAAGATACACAATCTCTTTAAAAAATAGTACTGAATAATTATCTTAAATATATGGTATCCTTAATTAGTGGACATTAATAATTCAATTTAATTTTATCTCTTTTCAACGTTTGTATCTCATTCCCACTATCCCACGTATCCCACCATTACCCCTGCTTCCTTAACCCGTTTCCCCCAATTCACAAAACAAGTTTGTATCTCATTCCCACTCCCACACGTATCCCACCATTACCCCTTCTTCATTAACAGTTCAATATACTTTTTGCATGTACAAGATTCATATCCACTGCATAATCAACATTAGTTGAAGTGGCAAAGTAAGATTTTATATAGTTATTCATATTGTATATTTGTTTTCAACCCTATCATGTATCTTAAGCAATATTTTGAACTTTTTTAGCCGATTGATTTTGGGATTTTTACATTGTTTGAGTTTGTTATTTCTCCATTCCATTCCAAAAATATGTATCTCGAATACGTATTGATAAGGAAATACATCTAATTATGTGTAGCTAAATATGAAATGTATCTGAAACGCATGAATTTAGGAACAATTTAGAGTATCTGTCGTATCATTAATCCAAAAAAATAATAATTCAAAATTAATACCCAAGAAAAAATAGATGCATGCATACTTAATAAGATACATTGATAAAAACTAGATACATATAAACTAGATACATATAATCACATCTCAATTATGTGTTAGATACATCAATAATGTGTCAAAAACATAAGTCTCCACTTATTGAAACTCTAATACTAATCAAAGCTCATATTACAGAGAAAAAAAAAATAGAACATTATTAAGTAGCTGAAATAAGTGCAAAAGGATCCAAAAACAAATTGGACCAAATGGAAACCAAAAAGAAAATAAGCTAAAACAAAAACAAAAGAAAGAAGAAAGTAAAAAGTTTAGATACACATCAAGATAAATCTGCAGAAATGAAAAAAATGATCCCATCTTCGTCCACCGGACTTTTCTCTCCTTGTTGGTTCCTTTCAATCACATAAATTCGAAAATGAATATCATCAGCACTGAGCCTAACTCTGAGATTCAAGAATGTCTCTTCTAGCATTTGAGATTAAGAAAAGATCAAGATTGATCCCATGGTAGTCCACGATTTTCAAACTTGTTGCCAGGGAGATGAAGTTTTCAATTAGAAAACTCTTGTGGTTTTAGAATTTCGTTACTTTAGGAAGATTTGTTAAAATTGATATGTTAATGAATGTGCAAATCAGTTAGAATTATTAATTAAGCCTAAATTACTCCTTTATTTAAGGAAGTAGGTTACGCACATTTAATTCAAAATTATTAAAATATGTATCTCTTTAATTCAAACTGTCGGATACATGTATCTCGCGAGTAATGATATATGTATCCAACAGAAAAAAATATGGTATAGGATGTAGTTACCGAAACTATCTTGAATTCTAGTAATTAGGCCCTAAACTAGTGAAATTTATGTAGTTTACCCATAATATAAATGGATTAATTGTTTAAGTCCAATAAATATGAATTTAATTAAAATCTAAATTCATTTATTAGGGCTAAAAATGATGAGCCCACTTTGTTAAGCCCAAAACCATTTCATTGTAGAGCCTCATTCTGGTGTCAAGTGTCAAATGACATGGGATGTCAAGTAAATGAAAGAGGTCAATATGATAAGTCATGTCACCTAAATCTAATTAGCTAGAGAAAGCCTGCTCTTATCTCTACTCCTCTGTCATGTCACTTAAATCTTATTGGTCGGGAGAAAGTTTATTCTCATCATCACTCCTCTATTCTACCTATAAATTAAATAGGGGTCCTCATAATTGAGGAGCACAAACACATTATAATTTTAGCGCTTCACTAGTCAAAAATAGTATAGTATAAAGATCTTTTCCACAAGGATTTACACAAATAATAATTCAATCAAATCTCCATGAGGACTAAATTATTTCGAATGATTAGATCATTGAAAGGAATAGTCCCATGAAGTTGCTTCATCATCTAAGGACTTACCAAAAACACTTGTCAAGCTTTTCTCATTTCATCTTTTGAGGAAAAGGCAATGCGGACATGAATTTAGAATCAACTTCTAGTTCTGACTTCTCATTTCCTTTATGAATTTCACTGGACTCCCCTACTACTTTTTGACTTCCTTGTGTCTCATCTTGTCTCTTTGTAGCTTCACAAGCTTTGCTTTTGCAAATATCATTGAACATTTTTCCACTTTGCAAAGTCACAGCCTTCAGCTCCTTAGAGTTCTTCACTGTGTCACTTGGAAGAGTTCTAGGTGGTCTCTGGGATATCTGATTAGCAATCTTTCCAACCTACTTTTCTAAATTTTGGATAGAAACACTTTGAATTTCAAACATCTTATCAATTTTTATGATGAATGTCTTCATTAGATCTTCCAAACTTGATTGATTGCCTTGTTATCTTTGTTGATTTTGGTACCCCTGAGGTGCTTGACCTTGACCTCTAGAATTATTTTGCTGTCATGCATTCAAACTACCATTTGATGAACTCCATCAAAATCCAGGATGTTTCTGACCCATAAAATTAAAGTTGGTGCATCTATAATAGTTTACACTATTATAATTACCAATTGCATTCACCTCTTCTTCTATAGCTTTCCCTAGCTAACATTCATGAGTCGTATGTCCATTCCCACAAAAATCACATATAGTCGGTGGTGTCATTTGAGCTCGAGCAATAGTCCACTGTTTCACATCTTTATCAATAGTTATGATCTGGACCTGCAATGTAGTGTAAGTTGATAACGCTCAACTATACTTCTTCCGATTAAAAGTGTAGGCGGTTGCTAATCAAGTACAAATCCAACAATGGGTTGGGGTCGATCCCACATGAAGTGATACGATAAAGAATTCAAGTACGAAGTAAAGAAGTGCTCTAATCTTTTGTTGAAGTAAAAGACTACGCAACATAAACTAAATCAATGAGTTTTGATGATGAATATCAAATGGGTGATTTAGTAACCAATTTTCAACAAAGGTAATTAACACGGGAATTGAACAATTAGAAAGAGGACCTTAGGAGTGTGAGCAATCAAATACTAGTTTCGCTTAATAGGTAGTTATTAATTGATTTAAGTTGTTGAATCTCAATGGGTAGGATATGTTTTGAATATAATAGTTATCTCTCGATCAACTATCATGTTTCGAGTGAATTCTCTCGAACCTCAACAAGCTTAACAATACAAGCAACCCAATTTCTTAATTAAACCCACTTTCTCAAGCTGGGTTGTAAAGATGAAAATCAATTCAACTATCAATCATTCATTCTACTCTAAGCATCTTTCTCAAGCAAGTATAGAGAGCTAAGCTAGAACCGAATTTGCAACTTCAGTTCATCAATGAAAACATGAATAAATAATTGAACCCATTTCAAAATAACATTAAATTTAGCAATTAACAATAACCATAAGCTAATTTATGTATCCGATTATATGATCACACCCCTAAGGGAAGGGGTTTTAGCCAAACATAGCAAAAAGTAAGAAATCATTACCAAAAAGATTATCCATCCAAATTGTTAACCATCTGCAATGCTCAATGCCAAAATTAAGACTAGAATCCTAGAACCTCAAATTCAAGATCCAAATCCTCTCCAAGAGTGTTCAATAATGTAAAAATATGTAAAAACCTCTCAAAACTAGGCAATACACTATGTGGGACCTCCTTTTCTCTTCTTTTTTTTAAAAAAGAATTTATATCTTTCCAAAAACTTCCCAAAATCTCAGCATGGAGTCCAATCGGCGATATTAGATAGGATTGCCGAACAACTCGGCGATCCGCCAAAGTGCAGGTCTTCTCACCTTGAAGCTTGACTCTTGTGTGCAATTGTTTTGGAAGATTTGATGAGCTGGATCGTTGTCGCCATTCCATTCAACGCATCGCTGAAGTGTATTTTCATTCGCCGAGTTGACTTGATCCATGGGCTACTGCTGAAAGATTTGACGAGCTGAAGGCTCACTCGGCGAGTCGCCAAATGGCTTTTTTTAGCTCCAGCTTCTCTTTTCTTCACCTTTCCCAACTTTTTCGCTCATTTTCGCATCGTAATGTCCTTGTCTTGTTCTTAAGCCTTCATTGCTACATATAAACACATTAATATTAGTTATGAGCACAAAATAAGCATTGAGGACACTAATTCATTGAATAATGAGCCCTAAATGAGTCTCATAAGTGTAACACCTAAAAAAATTGGAAAGGAAAAGTATAGAATTTTTTCACTAAAGCAGGTTCTACGAGTCTTATCTACGGACTGTAGGAAGTCATACGGACCGTAGGAAGGAAGTCGTGGTCCTTGGGTTGAGTTTTGAAAATGCCAAGTCTCTAATGGTTTATCTACGAGTGATATGATGAGACGTAGGGCATTCTACGAGCTGTAGAAAGTGCCCGTAAAGTTGATTCAATAATGGA